TACGTCATCCGTATAAGCCCAGGTAGACTTTCCGGTAATCATTTCCCACCATACACCAACATATTTGATTGGTTTAATCCATGATGTATCCTCTATCTTACCCGGATCATTCAGGTTATAAGTCATTTTTGAAGCTAAAATATCACGGGCATCATCACTTACCATAACCGTACGCCAAGGCGAATTAGCTGGTGCCTGCATGTATCCCTTATCTCCTTTTACATCTGGTGTAAGCCACGATTCAAAAATCATGTTTTTATCATCCAGATTCAGGTGCATACAAGCATAATTAATCAATGCAGCTTCATGCAAATTGATATATAACCCATTGCTGGTTTTCATCATTAAAGAAGTCTGCACACCAGTTGGAGAAAAAGAAGTCTGAGAAAGATTTTCTGTTCTGTTTTTTTCAGCCAGGCTTCTTATTTCAGAAAGTTTTGAAGTCGTATAATCATATTCCTGCGTATCGTAATCTCCAGCTATCCAGAATGCAGTATGATCACCAGCCATTGCAAACTGTGTTTTCTCTTCCTTAATTACAAAATAAGTCAGATTTTTCTGTGCAGGGAATTCGTAACGAAAGCCCAAACCTTCGTCAAACATTCTGAAACGGATAACTAGTATCCTGTTTGTTTCTTGCTGATTCAGCGTAACAGCTAATTCATTATAGTGGTTACGGATAGTTTTCACCTCACCCCATACTGGTTTCCAACTTTCATCAAAAGAAGAAGTTTTAGTATCCGCTACAGTAAAGTCTGATAATAAAGATTTTTTATCATCTTTAAGCTCCAGTCCGAGCTTACTTGGCTTAATTACATCTTTATTTTTGTACACGAGACTATAACTCGGTTTACCACCGTCTTTCAATGCAAAAGTCATGGTGAGTTTTCCATCCGGAGACTTTAGTTGCTGGGCGTTGGCAATAGTTAAACAGCCCCATAAACATGCTATTAAAATTAGCTTCTTCATATTATATATTGTTGTTATTACTAGATTTTCTGAGCCTTAATGGTTTCATGATCTGGTTGATCGTAACTTCATAAGTTCCGGTAATACAGCCAGAGTACCTATGCATTTATATATACCCAGGCCTTTTTCCCAGATCCTAAGCTAACTTGTACTCTCTTATAATCGTCAACTTCGTATTCATCTGTCCGTTTGAGCTCATCTGCTGAAATTTCAAAAACCATCCCATCAACCACATCGGTAACACTACCTGTATACTTCACCATAGGATGGTGTGAAGCCCCGCTTAAGGCTATTACCTCTGCGTCAGTAATTTCAATCATTGATAGTGTATATCCATTTAGCTTATCCAATTTCCCTTCCAGCAATCTTCCATAGTTTTTATTTGTACATTTTCCTTCTGCAAGGTTCCGTAGGAGAATAAGTTTTCAGTATTCATAAGGTGCGTTTTTGCTTAAATATTTAACTGGATATATCCTCTCAAAAAACAATATGGAGCGTCTAAAACCAGAATTTTACGAATATAGTTATCAAAACCATTTTCCTCATAAATCTTTGTTATTTCAGGTGTCGATCAGAAACAGGCTAAACTCCCTTCCTTTTACTAAAAGCTCTAAATCAGCTTCAAAATATATGTTCAGCAAATCCGTCCAGGAATCGTTGCCTGATACTGGAATATTCAACTGCTTTCTCACCAGACTATTTGCACCATCTGCTGCAATCATATAGTCTGCAATGGTTCTGTAGTTTACTCCTGTTGCTTTATTTTCCACCAAAATTTATTTTTCCAACAGGATTTTGTCAAGCCTCCATCAGGTTGTTTCCATATATAGTTCCCAGGCAGGAACCAGTGAGAACTTATATCTATCTATTATTCGTGGAACTACTGAAAAGACAGGATACTACCCTACAAAGGTTGAATATTGCAGATGTTAAAAAGATTTATGGGATAAAAGATAAACTTATTGCAGCTATTGACACCCCTTCCAGACTTCCTGAACTTGTGAGATTTTCAGGTATGAGTGAATCTAAATTAAAGCGACTTTTTAAGCAGATTTTCAGAAAGAGTATTTACAACTAT